TGAGGACTTCCTGACTTCCTTGCCACCCGAAGCATCCCTGGGACAGTGCCATCTTTTCTCCTTTTCATTGTTGCGTCCTTTTGTTATGAAAACATGCAGACTTGCCATGCTGTCCTGCCTACAGGACGCCAGCTGCCATAGTAAGCACTACTAAACAGGCAGGGCTATGGAAGGGAGTTGTAGGCAGCACTTATGAGAAACCTGAGCTTATTGTCTGGCATCCTTCAGATCTCTGCCCATCTGAGGCACCTGTTAAAAGTGGTGTCCCATCACGTCCAGGAGCCCTGGCACCTCTTACCTTTATAAAGAAGCATTCCTTCTCCACCCTGGGGACTTCATCCACCACCGTGGTCTCCTTCTGTTTCTTGCTGACTTGGAACTGTTGCGGTGCTTTAATCTTATTAATTTACCATTTTCTCTTCTGGTCAGAATGTCAAGTCAGAATCAGAATCAGAATACTTTATTGATCCCTGGGGGAAATTATTTTTTGTTACAGTGCTCCATTTTAAACCAACATTAAGACAAGACAGACAATACACTAACTAAGAATAGTACAATATATACATATATATACATACATACATAAGTCACTCATAAATAAATAGTTGGAAAAGAAACATGTGTAGCTGTAGCAGCAAACAGTGTGTTAAGTGGATGCGTTGTACAGGGAGATGGCCACAGGCAGGAATGATTTCCTGTGTCGTTCAGTGGTGCTTTTCGGTAATCTCAGTCTCAGTCATTGAATGATCTAGTTTATGACCCAATAGCAGTAAAACACAGTACAGAGATGATAATGCACGAACAACGTTGTTCATCCATGGATGTAAATATATTTTCTCCAGTTGCCCGCTGAACCCTGGTCACTAACTTTTGACTTTTTTACATAAAAATTCTGGTTAGTTACTTAGGTGGGTTAGCTTCCAGTGTCTTGGAAGTGTTGGTCCTGGTATTAAGCCAGAAAAGGATTCTCACCATCAACTTTATGTGCCTGTAGGTGTTACAACCTGTCTGTCCTGATTTTAACTGACAAATTGAAATAGTAGAGACTAATATTCCTGTTATGGCAGCAGGGGCTAGTGCATGAAAATGGACCCAAATACAGACAGAGGCAAACTGGTAGGTTTTATTTACAAAGACACAAGAGTAACACTTAAGCACCGGAAACATGAAATGAGAATCTAACAGGAGTCTGAAGCAGTCACGGCTCGTGGGTCGGGGATAGAGGTCACTGAAACAGAGGGAGAGAAATGCTGAGTGAGGTAATAAGGCAACTGAATGGCTTTCTAGTGGCTCACTGGCTTGCAGGTGTAGCGTGACATGATGGGGAAATGGAATGGTCTGCCATGAGAATTTGGCGGCGTGAACCCGGTCCAGAATTGTGGAACGGGCTGCTGCAAGTAAATAGCGCCGATTCACGAGACCAATACCCAGATCAGGGTCAATCTCCAGTACCGGCGAATGGCGACCTCCACATCCCAGGCAATGAACCCAATCTTGCTTGTAGCGGGGAGAATGGTTGGGACCTCAGAGCGATTGTGTCGGTGGCGAACTGGCGTGATAATGCATTGGCTTTGATGCTCCGTGAGCGTGGACGGTAGGAAATAAAAAAGTTAAACCTGGCAAAGACAGTGACCCACGTGCCTGCCGTGCACTCAGTCTCTTAGCTGTCCTCAGGTAAGTTAGGTTTTTATGATCCATCCAGATAGCAAACGGCTGCTTGGCTGCCTCCAACAGATGCCGCCATTCTTTCAGAGCGAGCTTTACTACTAACACCTCCCTGTCACCCACATCATAGTTCTCCTCGAGATGACGTGAGAAAAGCCACATGGTGTTCCTCAAGAGTCTTGGAAAATATCTGAATGTCATCTAGGGTAAACAAACACGAACCTGTCCACAAAATCCCTGAGAACATACCAAAGCTTGAAAGATGGCTGGGGGTTGGTTAGCCCAATCGGCATCACCGGGTATTCAAAGTGGTGTATTGAATGCGGTTTTCCATTCATCTCTTTGTCGGATGCACTGCGGAGGTCGAGTTCGGTAAAAATAGCAGCTCCGTGAAGAGTGTCAAACATGGAGTTCATCAAAGGCAGTGGATACTTGTCTTTGATTGTGATGTCAGGCCCTGGTAATCTATGCACGGGCGGTTCTGTCATTTTTCTCCACAAAAAGAAACCCGACTGGGAAGCCCATCCATTTTTCCATGGCCGCTCGTTTGGGTCCGGACACATTGCAGAGAAGTCTGGTGGAGAGCGAAGCTCCAAGGAATAGTTCAATTGTGCAATCGTACGGTCTGTGAGGTAGGAATGAAAGGGCTGTGGTTTTACTAAAAACTTCTTGAAGGTAGCTGTGAGGTGGCTGTAGCTCAGGAGGTGGAGCAGGTTATCTGCTGGAGGAAGGTTGGTGGTTTGTTCCCTGCCTCCACCAGTCTGCACCATTAGTCTGCTAATTCCAGTTAGTATGTCTAGTAGTTTATGTATTCCAAAGTGAAAAATCATGAATAGAAACAAAAGACTGAATGCATCTGTAAAAATAAAGCAGTAACGGGTTTGTGGATCTCAGGTTCCAGTTGAACTTGCAACCTGTTGAGTGGGGCAACAGACAGAGCCCCGAGTAAATAATGTAAACAAAAGATGCAGTTTGTATCTAAAGTTTGTCTAATCGCATGAGGTTAGCAGTGCTAAAGTATCAATGAAAGCAGCAATGCCTGTGGAAAGTCTGAAGAGGCCGAGGACCTGCATGCAGCAAGTGTTTGAATTCACACACTGATCACTCATGTAAAAACAATCTAGTTTTCTGTTTCATAATAAATTATATGTTCAGTTGATTCAATGGCTTTTCATCTCTTAATAATGATCAGAGGTTCCCAAAGTGTGGGGCCCGCCCCCTGGGGGGGGGGGGGGGGGGGGGGGCGCAGAGCCATTGCAGGGGTATGAAAAAAAACAAAAACAAAACGCTTGGACACTGTTAGCATCATGGACAGGTTTTTGACGGGGCGCCCACGCAAACGCAAAGCAGGAGATGAAGCATCGCTGAATATGTTTCCAAACCAACTTCATTCCAAGCCAAATGCTAGACAATATGGTGAAGCAAATCCTCCCTTTGGCTTCACCTGCACAAGTGCCGACGTAGGTCTCTGCGACAGAATTAGTTTCCCTGCGTCGGCAGCAGCGCTGGGCTCTCAAACTCACGGACAAACAGGATCCCACAGCTGTTTATGTTTTTGAACCCATTTTGCACAGAGGGGCATTTTTTGAAAACTGTGTTGACAGCAATGTTGAACATTATTACTCAGGAAAAAACAACTACATGTAAAATAATCACACCGTGACGCCTCTGCCTTTGTAAATGGAGGGACAGTAACTGTGTGTAAAACCTGCAGACAGTCAGATTAACAGTATTTCGTCTCTATCTGCTATTCATCTCATGTAAACAATAACGTGGCCACAGCGTGACGTGGAAAAAGGCACATACCTTTGACGTTGCGTGACGAACTCTGTATTCCAGTATTTTAAAAAAAACCTCAGTTTTCGGTGATTCGAAACGCCGGTTACATGTGGACGAAAGGTCCAAACACACAGAAACAGCTCTGTGTGTGGACGCAGCGTAAAAGAGTTAGTAGCTTATTTTATTACTACCTGTAATTTATTGCAGTTTACTTGTATTTGCTTAATTGTTTACTAAATGTTTGAGGTGTGAAATAAACCTGCAATGGAGTTTGAAAACAAAATATGGGCGTGTGTGGTTGGAGGATGTGTTTGTGCGCGGGGGGGTGCTACAGCAGCAACATTTCTGACTGTTGTGCTTCATCAGCTGATGGTCATGCAGCCACCCACCTGGTGTAATTCCCATAGGACCACATTAATCCCAAACCGAGCTGGGGATGGGATCACTGTGACAAGCAGACAGGAAAACGACTGTTCTGCCAGAAGAGTGACACGTCCAGCAGTCACCACGAGTTTTATGTTGCCATTAGCATCATCTGAAAGTGAGAGTGTAGCTTTCACCCCTTTAGCAATAGTGGTGAAAAACTGACACTGCAGCCCAGTGTGGCATCTTAAATGAAGATAACGTGATGTAACGCTTGTAATAGTCAGGTCAGATGTTTTTGTTGTCTCTCTGTGATCGGGGTTCATTTTACATGCTTTCTAAAAGCCAAAACACAACCTCTATTTTTTAGCCACTGAGCAGTTTTGTAATACTCATTGAATAAATTCCCAGTTAATTCAGCATCCTGGTAACCATCCCACAGACATTGTCATTGTACAGGAACTTTGATAACTGCTGCATTTATTACTTCCAGGCTGGACGACTGTAATTCATTATTATCAGGAAGTCCTAAAAACTCCCTGAAAAGCCTTCAGCTGATCCAAAATGCTGCAGCAAGAGTCCTGACAGGGACTAGAAAGAGAGAGCAGATTTCTCCTGCTTCCCTTCATTGGCTTCCTGTTAAATCCAGAATTCAAAATCCTGCTCCTCACATACAAGCTCTTAAATAATCAGGCCCCATCTTATCTTAATGACCTTGTAGTACCATATCACCCTATTAGAGCACTTCGCTCTCGCTCTGCAGGCCTACTTGTTGTTCCTAGAGTATTTAAAAGTAGAATGGGAGGCAGAGCCTTCAGTTTTCAGGCCCCTCTTCTGTGGAACCAGCTTCCAGTTTGGATTCAGGAGTCAGACACTATCTCTACTTTCAAGATTAGGCTTCAAACTTTCCTTTTTGCTAAAGCAATATAAACCACCTTAAGGCTGCTAACAACTGAATTGACATTAGTGTATTTGTATTTGCTGGGTTTTGATCCGTTCTGTTGCAGAAAAGTTTGAAAGGTTTGATCTCTGAGAAAACATTTCTCTTATCAGTCTGATTGTGAATTGGTAACGCTGTTATGATGGACTGATGCATGATGGTAAAGTATCCGTTTTTTAAGCTCCACAAAGCCAATCTGCCTGAACCATGAACCTGTCTGATTTCATTTCTATTTTCTGATCTACCTCCACAGCTGTTGACATGACAACAGACGAGGCAGAAAGTCACCAGAAAAAGCCGAGGCAGCAGGAGGAAGCTGGCCAGGGCGCCAGACCTCCCACTCCAGAGGACGACCAGCTCCGACCTCAAAACCACAACCCTGCTGGCCGCGGTCTCACACGCCTCTTTTCCTCCCTCCTGAAAAGGCGTTCACAGTGTGAGAGCGAGGGTGGAGAAAAGGAGGACAAGGAGGAAGAAGCTAAAGCACCCATCGCTGACCCCGAACCTGAACTAAAAACAGAGGGCGAGGTCGCCCTTGACCAGCACTCAGTAAGCAGCGCTGAGGCTCAGGTCAGCCTGTGTTGGTGACTGTGTTACAGACTTAGGTCTTACCTGTGATATGTAAGGAAATGTGTCATGGATCGAGTTGCAAAGTATTTCTTATAGGATGCGTCAACTTTTACATTACTGAGCAAATCATTTTCCAAACCTGAGACTCTTGACTGTAGACGGTGCATGAAGCCTCCTCCCTGCTCAGGCTACAAGAGAAACATTACAAAGGTGGTGTTGGGCTCCTTCAGGTGTAGCCTGGATCACCTTTATAAAGTCTGATTACGCTGTGACTTATTTAAGATCCTCCGTGTGCTACATGTTCACATAGTTTACACTGTGACACCTCAGATGTGTGGATGATCTCACAGTTTTTGCTGAGCTGTAATGCTTGACATGCACATCTCCATCAAAACTGCACCATAGCACGATGTGCATCCTCTTCATAACTCTGACAGCCCCTGCATCCATCGGTTTAGACACAGTAACTGTTGTTTTCCAGTATGAACTGCTCAGTTTCACCTGTGATGGCATTAAATCCAAACAAGGTTGTCACCTGGTGTTCAGATTAGTAGTATGAATTGCACTTTAGTCTTTTTGCAAAGACACTGATGTTTTTACACATATAAATATATCAGTTACTACATGACTGGTGTCCACTGTGGTAAAAAACAGCTTTTACCAGTTGCGTCAGATTTCCAAAGCAAAGCCGTTCCTTCCTTTAAAGGACCTTGAAAAGCTTATCCACGCATTTATTACATCCAGACTGGACGACTGTAACTGCCTCTACTCGGGCCTCCAACACTCCTCTCTTTGCCGGCTCCAGTTAATTCAAAATGCAGCTGCGCGTCTTTTAGCAGGTACGAGAATTCATGAACACATAACTCCAATTTTAGCCAAATTACATTGGCTCCCTGTTAAATATCGTATAGATTTTAAAATTCTTTTGTTCACTTTTAATATTTTGAATAATTTAGCGCCCAGTTATCTTTCTGATTTACTCCATTCATACAATCCCAACAGAGCACTTATATTGTCCAATCACAGGCTCCTAGCACAACCTAGGACTCGAATGAAGTCGAGAGGCGACCGGGCCTTTGCATCCGTGGCACCCAGACTCTGGAATAACCTCCCCGTTCATATTCGCACTGCCGAGTCGATCCAGTCTTTTAAATCACGTCTTAGAACTTATTTTTTTACTTTGGCTTTTGATTCTGTCTAGTTGGCTGTTTTAGCTTGTTGCGTTGTTACCTATTGTTTGTTGTCCTCTTCTATTGTTTGTTTTAACTGTCTCATGTTTTTATTGACTGTGAATGTTAAGGGTTCCGAAAGAGACTCAGGCGCAGGCCAGGGTTTCCCTTTAAGCGAAGAACAGTGCGTTTATTCACAGTGAACACAATCACCAAGTGGCTATGTACAACGTGCAGGGGAAAAGGGTCCGGGTCGCCAGGGTCCGTGGGAAACAGGGTTAGGGGAAAAGGTGCTCCACACTTTCTGTACAAAAGCTCCTCCTCAGTCACTCCTCTCAGAATCCGGTTCCAAAAACGATCTAAACACAAAAGGTCGGGTTAGCAGGATAATAACAAAGGGCTTTCAAGATACAGGTTGGCAGATACACAAGTTTGACTGACGCTGATAGTTCAACGATCCAGCGAAGACTAGTGCAGACTCGCCATCTAAGTAGTGCAGTAATCAGCTGGGATCAGCGGCCGGTGTGGTGATGAGCAGGTGTGTGGGCCAGCAGCGGGAGCCTGCAGTGAGCATCGCCGTGGCGAGAGAGAGAGAGAGAGTGAGAGAGAGAGGGCGAGAGAGCAAACAAACCACAAACATATTGCCCAATAGAGGATTGACCAGCAGGGCACAGGGACCATGACAGTACCCCCCCTCAACGGGAGCCCCCCGGCGACCCACCAGGCTTACCAGGATGAGACAGATGGAAGGCCCGCAGCATACGCTTGTCCAGGACAGCGGCCCGCGGAACCCAGGACCGCTCCTCAATGCCATAGCCCTCCCAGTCCACAAGGTACTGGAAGCCACGCCCGCGGCGGCGAGAGTCCATAATCCGCGTGATGGAATAGGCGGGCAAGCCGTCCACAAGCCGGGCGGGCGGAGGGGGCCCGGAAGGAGGGCACAGGGGGCTATTCTGGACAGGTTTGATTTGGGAGACGTGGAACACATTGTGAATCCTCATGTTGCGCGGCAGCCGGAGTTTCAGAGAGACGGGGTTGATCAGTGCCGAAACCTCAAAGGGACCAATGAAGTTTGGGTTGAGCTTCTTGGACTCAGTCCTGAGAGGAACAAAGCGCGTGGACAGCCATACCTTTTGTCCCACGCTGTATGCCGGAGCTGGTGTGCGGCGGCGATCTGCGGTCTGTTTGGTTCGGTCCTTTGTGCGCAGCAACGCCGTCCGTGCGGCCCGCCAAGCTCGTCGGCACCTCCGTAGATGGGCCTGGACAGATGGTACAGAATACTCACCCTCGACAGAGGGGAAGAGAGGCGGCTGGAAACCCAGTGAGACCTCGAAGGGAGACAGACCAGTGGCGGAGGAAGTCAGACTGTTATGGGCGTACTCAATCCAGGGTAGTTCATCACTCCAGATGGACTGGTTGGAGGACGCTGTGCACCACAACATTGCCTCGAGCTCCTGGTTAGCTCGCTCACACTGACCGTTGCTTTGGGGATGGTAACCGGAGGTCAGACTGACCTTTGCTCCTAATGAGGAGCAGAATTCCTTCCAGACGCCAGACGTGAACTGGGGGCCTCTGTCAGACACAATGTCTTCCGGGATCCCATGCAAACGAAACACATGACGGGTAAGCAGTTGTGCGGTCTCCATGGCCGTGGGAAGCTTGGGTAGAGCTATGAAGTGGGCAGCTTTAGAAAAACGGTCTACGATGGTAAGTATGACAGTGTTGCCTGCTGATTGCGGCAGTCCAGTTACAAAGTCCAAAGCTATATGGGACCACGGCCTGGACGGAGTCGGCAGGGGATTGAGCTGTCCAGCGGGCGGCTGATGAGATGGTTTATTCCGGGCACAGGTCGCGCAGGCGGAGACGTACTCCCGGGCGTCTTTAGTCAGAGAGGGCCACCAGAAGTAGCGCTGGAGGAAGTTGATAGTGCGGTGGACCCCTGGGTGGCACGTAAAGCGGGCAGTGTGGGCCCATTGAAGTACTTGAGAACGTACTGATTGAGGGACGTAGAGCCGTTGGGCTGGCCCACCTCCCGGATCCGGTTCTGACACCTGAGCCTCCCGAATGGCTGCTTCGATCCCCCAGGAGATGGCGCCCACGACACAGGTGGCGGGGAGAACGGGAGCGGGCTCAGTGGTGTCCTCCGAGACTGAGAACTGACGGGACAGGGCATCGGGTTTGACATTCCGGGAACCGGGTCTGTAAGAGATGGAGAAGTGGAAACGGGTGAAAAACAGGGCCCACCTGGCCTGTCGAGCGTTGAGCCTCTTAGCTGATTGTAGGTATGCCAGGTTCTTGTGGTCTGTCCAGACGAGGAAAGGCTGAGCCGTGCCCTCCAACCAGTGCCGCCACTCCTCCAGGGCTAGTTTTATCGCCAGCAGTTCCCGATCCCCGACGTCATAGTTTCTCTCTGCAGGGGACAGACGGCGGGAGAAGAAGGCACAAGGGTGGAGCTTACCGTCCTTCCGTTGCGACAGAACCGCTCCAACCCCTGAGTCGGACGCGTCGACCTCGACCACAAATGGCTGCGTGAGGTCGGGTTGGATCAGGATGGGGGCTGAGGCGAATCGTTTCTTCAGTTCTTGGAAAGCTGCCTGAGCTTCTTTGTTCAACTGAAAAGGAAGCTTGGGAGAGGTTAGCTGGGTCAGCGGCAAGGCAACTCGGCTGAAGTCCCGAATGAACCGCCGGTAAAAGTTGGCAAATCCAAGGAAACGTTGCAGTTGGTGCCTATTAGGAGGTTCCGGCCACTCAACAACGGCTTTTACCTTCACAGGGTCCGGGCGGAGGTTTCCTTGGTCGATTATGTACCCCAGGAATGCAACGGTGGAGACGTGGAACTCACACTTTTCTCCTTTGACGAACAATCGGTTTTCGAGGAGTCGTTGCAGGACCTGTCTGACATGGGTCTCGTGCTCGGATTGGTTTCTGGAAAAGATCAGGATGTCATCTAGATAGACAAAAACAAAACGGTTAATGAAGTCTCTGAGCACGTCGTTCACCAGGGCTTGGAACACCGCAGGGGCGTTAGTGAGACCAAAGGGCATGACAAGGTACTCGAAGTGGCCGAGGTGGGTGTTGAAGGCGGTCTTCCACTCATCGCCCTCACGGATGCGAACCAGATGGTATGCGTTTCGCAAATCCAGTTTGGTGAAAACAGTAACCCCCTGGAGGAGCTCGAAGGCAGAACTGAGGAGCGGCAGAGGGTATTTATTTTTTACTGTGATGTTGTTTAATCCGCGATAGTCAATGCATGGCCGGAGGGTTTTATCCTTCTTTTCGACAAAGAAGAAGCCTGCCGCGACTGGAGAGGTGGAGGCCCGAATGAGGCCGGCAGCCAGGGATTCCGTGATGTACTTGTCCATAGCGTCTCGTTCTGGAAGTGAGATGCTATATAGCCGACTGGTGGGTAAAGGAGCTCCCGGGAGCAGTTTGATAGCACAGTCATAGGGTCTATGCGGAGGGAGTGACTGGGCGCGGGCCTTTTGAAACACCTCAGCTAGGTCGTGATAAACAGAGGGCACATTAGTTAAATCAGCTGATTTCAATACCCCAG